GCTTAAAATTGGACAAAATATTAATAACTGCTGATATACTGATGACTCTACTTTGAAAGCTATAAATGATTTGAAAATTGTAGTAATTAAAGTCAAAAAACAGGAAAATTGAATTAAGAGCAAATATAATGATTAAACCATGATCATTGGTACAGTAAAAAGCCTTTGAAATGATAATAAAGACACTGAAATGCTAAATGGGTTCTGTTTTTTTTTTTTTTTTGGAATTGACCATCAACAGTGAACAAGCAGCAGTCAACAAAGATGCCATAGTATCACTTGGTAGGATAGCAACAATATGTTGAAAAATATATTTGGATGCTAAAATGTGTCCATACCTACAAAAAATAGAATGATGAAGACAGTAGTTTTCTCTGTGACATTCTATGAATGTGAAAGTTTCATTTTGTAGAAGCAAATTAGGAAGAGTATTGGCATGCTGGTAAAGATTCTTTCAAATAGTATGAATAGTCAGAAAAACAAACAGTAGACGAGAGAACCCATCAATCCAGAGTTCTCACTTGAGGCACATGTGACAAGGCTCAACTATCATATTTTAGACACATAATATGAAGACCCATCTCCTTTGAAAAGTTCATGATGCTAGGGGGAAAAAGAGTGGACTATCAGTAGCAAGTTGGCGGAACTGAATTACAACAGTCACTAATTCTTTACTGACAGACTTAAAACAAAGTTTGTCTATGTGGTTGCTAAGAGTTGACACCTACTTGATGAAACTTAATCACAATGGGCACTAGTTTTGGTTAATGCTAAATCTGAGTGCCAGATATCAAGTTCTCTCTTGCTCACTAATTTAGCCTTTGGGGAAAAAACATATCACAATACATTATCAATTGTGCATACAACATACCTTTTGTCTATGAGAGTTCCTGTTCTTCTTTCAAATATAAATTGAATACTCTTGATTCTGTTTATCAGAACATGGTCTAAAAAGTGCACATGGACATCCTGTAAAAGAAAGTTTCAACTTAAACAAGCTTTTGCAAAAATAGTGACCTATAGATGAGTTGGGACTATAATTTAATTATTTTGTGAATTGAGTTAATGTTTTATAATTGAGTTAATTGTTTTATAATTTTAGAATTGTAAGCCACCTAGAATCACTTGGTTGTAGAAATTGAATGAACAAATGAATAAATGTTCTAGAATTCTCAGGTAGCATGGCTGAAAAGAATTCTGTTAATTATATTTTGAGACATTTAGAGGAAAACTTCTTTAAAGAAGGCTAGAAGTAAATGAAATTGTGCATACAACATACCTTTTGTATGTTGCCATGACATACAACTGAGGTCTATAAATGAGCACAACTCTATTTCATGCCACAGGAGATACTTTCAAATATAAGTGTATTTAAACACTACCTATGTGGTTCTTGGTACACTCTGACTTTGGTTGTTTTCTTGCAGACATTTCATTACCAACTACTTAACATTATTGTGCTGGAAAAGATTCACTTAAAAGCCATAATGACTTATTTAGCAATAGTTGAAAAAATTGTCATAAAATCAAGCCTAATCACCTGACAATTGGATTTACAATCCCTACAATTTATAAACAAAATCCTGGCCATAAGTCAAGGACTATCTATAATAATACCGATTACAACCCATGGAATTGATTCAATCTCACAACTATTTTTTCCAGTTTCTTATCAAAATCCAAATAGAATTTAGACCAAGCTAAATTAGAACAAGTCACAAATCCAGTAAAGAGGGACAGAGAACTGAGCAGTGGAGAAGCAGCAGATGGATTATCAAGTCCATCCTTTCCTTCTACCCACAAGGCCTTCTGATTCTTTACACAGAAAAGGAGAGGAATAAACACAGACGTTTACAGAGGTCTTTGAAACTGAAGCTTAGGAGATATCATCCTTCCCTGAGTTACTATTGTTTGTGGGAGTTACTATTGTTTGTGGGAAACTTAGTTCTAAACTTAGTTTAGAGTACAAAGTAATGATAGCAGAATAAAGGCACTGACATACTGAAAAACTGTAATTGTTAAAACATATAAAGCTTTTTCTAATACCATAAACACCCAGAATCACTTTACAGATACTATCTCTGTGCTCATATAAGATATTAAAGGGTTTGCAGCCTTTATTCCTGGGAAATAATGTGACTTGGAGAAGGGCAGAGAGATCACTCTGCTTTGCCCACCAACTAAAACACTTGTGTTATTGAAATGCTCTATATCATTGAACTATTGTTTCTTTTATATAACTCTAAATATATTCAGATTGAGATACAAACTGGGAAACTGATATAAATTCCTAAGAATGAAAAAGCAAAGGTACAACCCCTCAGCCAATATAAAAGCAAACTAATCTTATGGGTATGTATTCAGTAGTAAGTCTCATTCTATGCAATGACATTTGGGTTTTAAGCACAAGTTAGAGGACTCAATAAAGTATGCTTGTTTTTCCCCCCCTAATGCAAACTATGATTAAGTGCAAGCAATAAAAATGCCTACCTTGCACAGAAAACAAAAGCATTTCTTGAAGGCTGTGGAGTCTGTTGCATTCACACATCATTCAAAACCTCCTTCTGGATTGGTAAAATACTACTACAGAATGCAAGTAATAGGTACATCTCTAGTATCTCACGTATCAAATCTGGCTTCCAAGACCTTTAACAACCCTTCACCCCACCCCACCCCCAATCTATGCATTGCCTGGACGAAGGTTGTGAACAATTATATGGTGTTTTCTTTTTACTAAGTCAGACTATCAATGGCCGCTCTACCAGTTTACAGATAACCAGCTCTTAAGTCACGGCTGTCTATCCTTGGCACACCATCATACCTACAGTCCCTGCCCTACTGTCCCCATTTATTCGTACCCATTTCATTCATATCCATGTTCATTCTTACATCTATTACCTTGTAAACGATTGACAACTCGAACAAATAAATAAAATAAATAAAACGTTAACAACTGTGGGCTTCAACTCCCAGAATCCCCCATCCCAGCCATGCCGGGAGTTGAAGTCCACAACTCTTAAGAGCTGCCGAGGTTGGACAGCCCTAGATAAAGGACGGCAAGGCTCTGCGGCTGCCCTTCCGAGGCCCTGCCTTGGGCGGATCAGGGGCGATTCCTTCCCGACGGAGGCGACGCCTTCTTCATCGAGAATGGCGGGAAATAAAAGTTCAAATCCAAGATCTGCTCTCTCCTTGCCCCCCACCCCTACCCCAAAAAGACAAGTCCTGGTGGCCCCCCTTCCTTCCTCGCAAGCCAAGCACGCTCACCGGCTGGCTGAAAAAGAAGGAAGAAGAGGCCGCCGCCGGAGTCTCTTTCCACCGGCTCGCGCCGTTGCTTAGACGGCGGGCCCCAAGCAACAGCCCCGCGGAGAAGACGCAGACTCTCCCCCGACTCCACATGTTGCCAGGCCGCCGCTCGGGAACAGGCCCGCCTGTGGCCGCCGCGGCCCCTTTCACGAACCACAGAGAACGGCGGCTGTGGAAGCTGCCGAAGGCCCGCGGCTGCCCTCTGGCGGTGCCTGAGAAAGACCCAGGAGAAGGATCCGAGGTGCTTTTCCAAGTGAGATTTTAAAAAAGAAAACGTTTTGGATTTTTTTTAAACATTAACTAACAAACTAATTAGATAAGAAAGAGAAGGAAGTAAAGAAAGAACAAAGCAAAAGTGTAGAAAAAAGATGTAAGAAATTGTTCTGATTTTATTTATTTACTTGTACCCCACCTTTATTATTTTTACAAATAAGACATCAAACATGTCTAACACATTCCTCCCATTTTCCCTTCAACAACAACCTTGTGAGGTGGGTTGGGTTAAGAGATGTGACTGGCCCAAAGTCATCTACCTGGCTTTCACGACTAAGGTGGGAATAGAATTCATCAACTCTAGTTTTCTTAACGACTAGATTAACCTGCTCTTTTATAAGAGTTGTAAGTCTAAGTTTTAATTTACATCATAGCTAAGGTTTACAACATTGCTTTCATTTTTTTATATTAACTATTTTTTCTAATCGTCAAAATCATAAATTATCCCATTTCTTTATGTCTCAGACACAAAATTCAAATCAGCATTAAAATGAATCTTTTCTCTATTCAAAGCTGTCAGTTTTGCCATTTCAGCAAGTTCCAATATTTTTACTATCCACTGTGGATCATGTCAAATTTTCCACCATTGTACATCTAAAAGTATCACTGCTCTTATCATATTTATTTAAAAAGGTTCCATTAGGGCAGTGATGGCGAACCTATGACACGCGTGTCAGTGCTGACAC